GACGGCCGGTCAGAGGATCTCAATAAAATTTGCCGAAAGATTTCCAGCCTGCCTCGGCCAGCTCCACCCGACTCTGCATGCTTCATGTTGGCTGGTGTTGGCAGAGCTGATGAATGCTTTCGCTCGCAGGTGCAGGCTGCGAAATGAGCCATAACTCAACAAAGTTGAATTACTTCTTTTATTTTTTAAAATAAAGTAATTGTATTTATGTTATGGAAAATAGATCTATGACTGACTCTATGACTGATGATGAGAATGCACTATTTTTAACTATTTAAAAAAAAAAACATCCCATCAAAACCGACCAGACTAACCCTTTAACAAACTTAAATGGATTTTCTTCAGATTTTTCACAAGGTTTCCACAAAGCTGTGGCACAATCCCTTTGATCTCCAGATCTAAACACGTCTAATTTAAGTCCTAGATTAAAACCTCTGGAAAGGTTTAATGAATATTGGCCACTGTGCTTCTATTCTGGAATCGTCCATGTTGTTTCAGCGAGCAGAGATCCAGGGCAGCGTCAAATATCAGAGCAGGTGCTGAGCCGGTGCACGGCGGTGGCGTGTAGACAGATAGGAGATGCAGCGTAATCCTAGGCAGCTAGGTAAATATAAATATAGCCGGCAGCTTTGAGCCAGCTATGAGTGCTGCTCGACCTTGGCTACCGAAAAAACAAAAGCAACAATAACAGTAAAACACCACTTATTCAGAGCATGTCGTCTTGGAAAWGCCAAACATTTCTCCACTTATTCCAAACTTTACATCCATTATACCACATATACAAACAGCTTAAGTAGACTTATTTTATAGGTTTTAGTTGCCTGACTTCAAGCAATTTAACTAAAATGTTGCATCCACATCAGAACAGCATTTTGTTTTTGACTAGTTAAAGGGGACATACCCACTTTGTAAAGRGCCTCGTTTGGATTTAAAGAGACAGCCTCAAAACGAGCTGATCTGAGACACACCTCAGAAAAGGGGCGGGGCTTGTGGAGTTACYYTATAGAAGAATTGAAGCATTGCAGTTCCACTTTATACAGACCAAACCTGAATGATTTAAAWGTGAAAAGAAGAGTTTCAAAGCATGATATGTCTCCTTTTAACAAATCCTTAGATCCATCAGTATATCGAGTGCAATRTGGGAACAGGAAAATGTTTGAGCCTCAGGTGCTCTTTACTAAAGTTAAAATGCCGGATGTCCCAGATTAGGTCGTGCCATTCATGACAGGAACACAAACCACAGCATCAGTGGTGCTGTTTCGAATTTCTTCACGAACACCATGAACATTTTGTCATGTAATAATAGTATTAGTTGGATATGGTCCAAGTGAAAACCTTGCTTGTTTTCTTGGCGTACGGGACAAAGGTGGGATTTTAAATGCGCACAGTTTGCAGTTCATGAAACCAAACTTTTGGCATGATTTTAACCACAGTCAGCTCTGAGAAAAAAAGGTTACCTTTCCTGTTAGGTTTATGGCTGGTAATGTTGCACAACCGCACTGCTTTGCAAGGATCTTACTTTACTGCTGGTGATGTAAGGTATGCTAAAATGTTGTCAGATCGTAGACACTATAAATTCCAATGTTTTTAATTTCTCTATTTTCTTTACTGTTTGAAATCATGGTAGGTTTGGAACCCACTACAGCTGACTGAAGCTGCCTGTCAGACATAGTACTGAAACAGACTGTAACCTGGCAGAAACTTTTTCTACAAACAAATGTGTATACTCAGTGTGAATCATTTGAATTTTCTGTTGCAAAAACGCCAACCAAAATTCTGTTTATTCTAGTTGTTTTACAGTCAGTCATTTAGAAAAAAGTTCTTACACCAATGATTAGCATAATTAGAATGATCAGATCAGATTTATGAGCTCAAATTTGAAAATAAACAGATGCTTTGAAGATGACTCGGCAGCTGAATGATAGTGCACCTTCACCAGCACTTTGCAGATTCCCAAACTACATTAGTGTCCTGAGTGGTCAGAGTTCGGACAGAAACCTTTGCTAAAGAGGAGGAGTAGGCGGGAAAGAGATCCTGCAGTGCAGAGTTCGATTACCAAGAAGTGGAGTCAATTAACATCRCGGAACACTGAGATCTTCCTCTGTTTCCTTGACTTTGCTCTACTTCTGGGCTCATAAGATCTTAAAGTGAATAAGAAAATGCAGATTTATATTAAGATAGCATGAAAAGGGTTTCTGTCAAGGTTGAGGTGAGGGAGATAAGCCAATCAGTCAGAGAGTGTGAAGCAGAGCTGAGTTTTTGCTGTGAAGCCTTGTCTGAAACTTGGCTTTAAAAAGATAATTTCACTTTTTTAAAGAGGGGGCAGTATTTCTGAGTAGTCATAATTTTATGTAATGTTAAATATAAACATACAATGTAAATGTAGAAGCAATAAAACAAGTTAATGCAATAATAAACATTAAGTAGCTAATACATTGAGCTAAAGGCTTGTGTGAAGCTGCGTCAGCCTCAAAGAGACACGTGTCAGGGCGGTCCAAAATCTGGGAGCTCTATAGCTTGAAAGAACAGGTACCCTCAAGTCTTAAACCAGGTTTTAGGAACCTTCAGGAGATTTTGGCCTGAAGAGTAATGAGTCAGCATTTCTAGAATTTAGATTCAAGAGAATGTCTCAGTAACTATCACACCAAATTTTAGTAGAGTTTTAGTCTATTTTATGTTACCTATTGATTAGCTGTGGTGACTTCAAATGGTAATGAGTTGTGGATATGAATGTCTTTTAGAGTTGTCTTAAAGAATGTCCAGTCACTCATGAAATATTTGAAATAACAGACATGGTCGACGCCGTTTGTTGGTTATAACAAAGTTATAACCAACATTAAAGGTGGCAGTCAGGCCCACTTCAAAGGACCAGAGCCTGTTGTAGGTATCTCAACAACAGTCTGTAGGACTACAGGCCTGGATTATATGTCAACACTCAATCTGCTGGAGGGAACTGACAGACTGTAGACAGGCARGGGAACTGATTAACGGCTCAAATCTTAGGTTTGGGAAAACTCTCACTGCTCWGAAAAGGAAAACTCTAAGTACACTGGTTGGAGTTCTAACTGGACACAATCTGCTCAACCYCCACAAAATGGTGATGGTACTCCATGACAATYGTCTGMYTGATGCCTGTGGCARTGAATTASAGACCTCTTTGCACTACTTAGGTCACTGCTTTGCTCTGAGCAGTCAAAGGAAAAGATTTCTTGGGGACCCCTTRATGGATCCTGAGAAGCTCAGAACACTGAGTGTTTCCAACCTTGTGTCCTTCATTCGAGGTACGTGAAGGTTTGGGTAAAGACCAGTGTCTTTTTTGGGGAGAGCAATGGGCCCACTTACGAGGCCACAGCTCATATGGATTCTTTAGCCATCCCCAGTCACCATAACATAACCATATAACCAACATTACATAATGTGTATTGCTCKATGGATGGGGTTAAGGTAATCCTAACCCTATGTGTTGGAGAACACTATCAGCTACAACAAAACTAAATTTTAGCTCAATATTACAGATATTTTTTGTGTTTAAGTTCATTCAGTTGTGGTGGTCATCCAGTTAGAGGGCTGGCCCCAACATGTAATTAGTTCTAAATGTAAATCCATTGATTAKTTTTGGAGAGTTTCATTAAACTCTTGTTGACTGGCTCATGAGATAATTTGTTAATTTTACAAACACATCCAGGCAAAAGTATTATCCTGTTTGTGTGCAGCACTGATCAGACGTGTGTGTCTCAGTCAGTCACTGAGTGCAAAGAASCAAGTATTCAGTGGCCCAACAATATAAAACTTTTACAGAAAAAAATGCATTCTATGCAAAACAGTTTTGACTAAAAATAGCCTAAAATATGAAGTTGATCAAATAATCAGCAGCACCAAAGCAGCTGAACCTGTTTAGCATTCAGAACAAACAGTTTGCTGACATGTCGTCATCTGCGAATCATGCATGCATCTCTGTGCAACTTCCATTTAGAGGATTCTTGGTGTTTTATCGATCCATTCATTGCACTTCTGTCTACTTGAGCAACACATTCTGTTTCATGCGCCTCTGTTTCAGATCTCTGTGTTCTCCTTTACATCATACATTTCAGCACAGCAGATGAAAGCTGACATTCCAGCAAACCCTCTGCCTCACCCCCCGTCCACCCCCCACCAGATCAAAATTCTCATTGATCCACACACACACCTTTCTTCATGAAACATGCACCTTTCAAAAATCATTTTAGGCAGCTATACGAGAGCAAAGATAAAAATCTGCGCCGATAACGGTCCAGCCGGAGCAGGAGGGAGCGTGAGAGACTTGAGATGTGGGAGTAAATGAGAGCAATCGTACTCACAAGATATTTTGGGGGGGACCGGTTTGTGACAACAGGTTTAAATGAGGATTTTATTAACACAAACAATGATCCTCTTTAAAGCCAACACAAATGCTCAAAAGCATTCACACTGCATCTATTATTAGACTGTACCTCCATCTTCCCCCTCCATTTTACATCTCCCCCAGTTCAAAAAYYAAAAAAAAAGAGAAAAAGATGCAATATGGGGGAAAGACACAACAGCTTCTTTCAAAACGATGGGAACATTGAATGTCGATGTGAACATGCGTGAGGGCAGAACTTGCATTTCATTAGTGGAAAGCGAAGCTGCTGCAGACACTGGGAGCTCAGGTAAAGGGAACAATTAAAATCCTTTTGTTATTTGGCCAACACCAGAAATTAGTCACAGCCCCCGTGGTATTAACAGCCCCCCCTTCCCTTGGCTAAATATTTGACAGTGCAGACACAACCTGTACTAGTGCATAAATGCTTCACTGCTTAACACACACGCGCGCACACACACACATGCATACACACCAGCTGTAACCAACTGTGCCATTCTAATGGTGTAACTGCATCCTAACCAGTCTTGTTTAATTCATGCAGTAGGAACTAATCAGGCAGGMAGGACGTATGTAGGAGTAATAACAGCCACCTGCCCTGCCTCATCCTCAGCATCCATACCTTGCGTCTGCGGTCCCTGGATCGATTCCTCTTTTTGATCTTCTCCTCCTCCTTCTCCCTCTGCTCCTGGGCGGCGGCCTCCGCGAGGTCCTTGGTTTTGCGGAGCTGCTTGGCGGCTTGCGCCATGGTGCCGCTGCTACTGCTGCTGCTGCTGCTGCTTCAGTCGCTCCAGCCCTTCTCGCTGCTCCCACCACCAGCTGTCCCTGTTTCCTCCCACCGTCTCACCCCCTCCCCGAGCCCCTGCCGCTTTACTGTCTCCCCTTCCTCCTGTCTGGGGGCCACGCCATGTGTGTGACACAAGGCGGCGTCTTGTCCAGGTACGTTACTGCGGCTACAAGACAGCCTCCAGCATCCACAAAGGGAAGATGCTACGGGCGAGTGGTGCTGATGCTGCTTCTCATCCAGTCATCTGCACCGAGCTGCCTCCCCTCCCCCCCTTCCTTTCCTCCCTCCCTCCCTCCTCGCCTGCCTGCCTTCTCTCCTCTCTCTCCCTCTGCTTGCAGAGACCAGTCACGCAGTTTTCTGTTCAGCCCAGCAGGGTTCCTGCTGCATGCACTGTAAAAACAGCCTGTTTCAATTCATTCAACAAAACTGAGGAAACAGCTTGCACTTACTGTAATTTTCACTCAAAACGATGTAAATATAACAGATAGTCACATCTTAGTTCAATTTCAGCCTATTTTAGCAATCCCTACTTCTCAGTAATAATAATAAAAGTTAAATTAAAGATATAACTTTAAAACTCTGGATTTTTTTTAAACTTTTGTTTGGAAAAAAAAATGGACGATTTTAATTCCATGAATTAGGTCACTTTTAGCAGATTTATAGTGCAGTTTTGACTTGTTTGTTACATTCAATCCAGCATCTACTTACTAAAAATACTTGATCAAATGTGAATGATTTTGATATTTCCTTTGTTCAAACTTCATTTTTACAGTTTAGCTCCCATTTTCTAACTGTCAAACATACATCTGTTCTCACAGCCCTCCATCTATTCTCCTAAATTTTTCTGCATGAGGCAGCTCTGAGATTTTTACTATTATTATTGCTATTATTACTATTATTACTATTATTATTATTATTATTATTATTATTACATAAGGCTTAAAATGAAATATGAGTGCAGGATCGGAGGCGGGGGTGGCAAGGGTGCAAAGGCAGGAGGATCCTGTCAAATCGTTTCTTTCTCCCTCACTGACTCAGACTCTGAAGCCTCCTTCCTGGGGAATACAGTAGATGAGGAACAGCAGATGTGTAAAATACAAACACAGACGATTCTTAGCATCACGGGAATCACCACTATTAACACAACATGGAAAACATCAGGCTCTTTGTCTCTTTTTTTAGTGTCGGGATGAGAGAAGAAAAAAAAAGCCTCATGAATTTTGCTTTTTGTTATATTTGCATATTTTTAATGACGTTAAAGACACATTCCAATAGTCAGTTGTTTTTTTCTGAACCTTTAACTTGCTGTAGAAGATTCTGCATGACCATAATTGATGAATAAATGCCTTTTATTACAGTAAAAATGTATAAATAAGAAGCAAACTGAAGCAGTCAGTTGTGTCCTCGCACAGAATTATGGTTCGTCGGTCAACATTTGAATTAGTGTGAAGTTGCATTATTTCATTTACCACCTGATATACAGCTGAAGGGTTTCCAATGCTTCAGGATTTACACCATCATTATTTAAAGCTTTGAACCTGCATCAGATTTTATCATCTGCTGTTCTCTGTGTTCTTCCACCATCAGGTGGCAAAACGTTGTTACTGCTGTTGTTCAGCGGTGATYTTTACTCAGGAAAACTACTGCAAGCATGTTTATGCTTCTTAAAATGTAAGATTTTTGACCTGAATTTAAACCGTTTCACCATTTTTCAGTGTTTATATCTCATATACATGTTTTAATGTCAAAACAGAGAATAGTGCTTGTATATGATGAAGTTTGATTTTACTAATCTGCGCAAATCTAATTTTTATATTCATATTTTTAGGGCCAATCTACACGCATGGACAACACTGTTGGTACCCCTTGTTTAATGAAAGAAAAACTGCACAATTGTCACAGAAATAACTTAAATTTGACAAAAGTAATAATAAAAAAATTCTATAAAAATTCAATTTTGTTAAACATTAAACTAAATAGCTTTGTCTTTTAGAGCTGTTTAATGAATGATTATGAGTAACATTGTTTAAAAGCCTTCAAATGCCTCTGATGTCCTTCACATGCAGTTCGGTCACATCTGGCTTCAGTCCAAATACGTTGTGTGTCCTCTGCCTTTTGCCTRTGACAGAAACTTATCTCAGCACAAAACACTCTTGGCCTCAGCTGGTTCTGTTGTGTCTAAAATCTATAAAACCATTTCCTCACATGATACGAGTGGAATTAGAAGCGAAGGAGGACGCATCTTTCTTTTTACCTTAGTGTTACATAAGTATCATAAGAGGTGTATTAGACTAATTTATAGATTAACTTGAACTAATAATATTCAAGWGTAAATCACATGAACATGTCATCATTGAGATATGAAAGAATGTAAACAGTGCTTTAGTTTAGCTTTAAGAGCAGTTTTACCATGAAGTTATTGCAAACATTATAATGAAGAAACTAGTTTTGTATCTTCCCAGCAAAAAAATATATAAATAAATCATCATCTTTATTTCCTTCACTAAAACAGGATCCCAAAAGGTTATAATATCAATTTCTTCRGACATTTTCACACACACTCAAGTTTGTGCACACAAACACAAGTTTGTCTTTATGTCTCTGTGGGGACCTTGGATTGACTTCCATTCATTTTTTTTAGTATTTTATAGCCTAAAGGCCCTGTCACACTGGACAACTTATGAAATATTTTTTGGTCTAAATAAAAGTAATAAAAGTTATATATTTCATCAGTTTGTTAGAACTACATTATGTACGCCAAAATGAAGCTTCCTGTTGATTTTTATTCAATTCCATCTTCAATGTAGATGTCTTTAAAATGTTCATAAGTTGGCACAAGTTGTCTAGTGTGACGGGGTCTTAACCCTGACAWMTTACCCTAAAATTAACATCACAAAACTAACCTGATCTCAATTCACACCTTGGTCCTAAACCAAACCCTGACCTGAAATTAGCATCACACACATACACACTTGCTCACTTCAGACAGTAGATGTCAGCAGAGATTCAAATCTGTGCATTAAGAAACTGCACAGTCATTGTTACAGTATTTGTTCATTTTCTAAGACTTCTTTTTTCATTAATGTAAAATARGTTTAAAAATAAAAACAAAACTCACAGCATTAATGAGCTGAATGGTTTGTTATATGAAAAAGTAGAAATCGTGAAACAAGACTGGAACAAGCTAATGTGGGGTGGTGGTGGGGTGAGGGGGGATTATTGTGATTGGTGATTCACACAAGACACTTAGAAACTTTGTTTTAAAAAATATACATTTGTTAGCCATTTCTAAATGATTAACACGTCTGAATAAATTAACAGAAGATTGTCTCAAATAATTTATGACTTTAGAGACAAAAAAAAAGTTCTTTTTGAAACTCGTGCGGTCCATGAGCGCCCCTCCATTAGAGAGCATTGATCATCAGAGCGGTGCATGCCAGACGTTTGGGGAGGAGGGAGGGAAGCTATCTTGGCAGACGACCAACAAATTATCTCCGAGTCACCCCTGCTGAAGCCGAGGCATCACGGTGCTGCGGGCCATGTTCCTGTCCAGGAGCAGAATCGATGCAAACTTTCTCTCTTTCGGCCTGAAATGCTGATGAGAAGAGCTGCTCACARGGCACTTCTTCACAGCCTATGATACAGGCTCCTTTTTCATTGTCAAAGCCTTTTTACTGAGCAGTTGACGAAAGCCCAGCATKTCTCTCCACCTACACGTTCCACCAGCACCTGCACTTCTTTAGTTATAGTTCCGAAACCACGACGCACAGTGGAAGCTGCTGGTTATCACTTTAAAAGCCAATAATGAGCCTAAAAGCAGTTTTTCCCCCKTCTGAAGCTGCAGCCACATCTCATTCAAGCTGCCGGGAATTTCGCTGACCTCTGAGGCTTGGATTACCTGGCAGGACCTGAGGGAGCGGCTCAAGAGCACTTGAGGACAAGACCGACGCTCCTCCAAATCGATACTGATCGATTGTACCTTCTCTCTCGCTCKKCCCCCSCCKCCCCCARATCTCTTCTTTGTACAAGAGTTACATTACAGTAAATGTGTTTGCTTTGCAGTGTTTCCGCAAACTGCAATGGCAAATAGCTTGTTCCATAGATTAGGAGGTGCAGCCGAGGCCCAGAGGTCTGATCCTCTTCCAGATGCTATGTGTTGCCTGGCCTGTCTTTAACGCAGTCATCCTTTCATGCAGGGGGATGATGAGATTATGGGAGTGGACAGATTGATGGAAGGGCAATTGATAGAAAAAAATGACGGATGTGACAGGGCAAGGAAGGAAGTCATGACCTGATGGAAAGTTACATGGAATAATCCCATCACTGTCGCTGCAGTGTTGTGGAAATATTTAAAAAATACTTCACCGTATTTCTGTCATAAAAGGGGTTTCTTGGTCCATTGTGGAGTCGTAGTCCGAGCCCAGATCATCGGTCCTCACTCTCAGAATGTTTCGTCTAGAGGCTGTCAGATGGGGACCTTCTGTTCTCAGTGATCAGTCCACCGTTGATATGGTCTCGGCCCATCGAGCTCCTGCATGGATCCTGATCGTGACGCCAAATTGTTGTGGAAATATATATTTAACAAGGACAAAAATACGTGATCCAAAGAATAAGGCTATTCATAGAATGATCATCTGTGTTTTTCATTGCAATTGCAAGACACATTTTTCTCTAACACAAGGCTGCACAAATCTGTTACATTTTTGTGTCTTGCAATTGGAATAAAAAGCAGATGAACATTGTACAAAGTGCCTTATTCTTTGGGTCACATATTTCTGTCTTTTTCAATAAATATTTCCACAACAGTGCAGTAAACCTCAGAATGCAGAGAGAAGACAAATGCAAAAAAAAAAAAAGGTTTCAAATGATCAAATCCCAAACCTCAAAGAGGTTTGGTAGCTGCAGTGTGGCATGTTTACAGTCAGGATTAAGAAAGACCAAGTGACGCTAAAGCTTTTTTTATATTCTTGATATTTTAAACTATTAAAAGTCACATGCTTCTTTGCAAATAAAGCAATGATAATCCATAAGAAACAACACAAGTGTTTTCTTTCCGTTTCTCTGTGCTGCTGTGCCTCATCCCTTTTTAGATTTTCACAGCTAAGTTTCCTCCCCTGTGGTGCTTTAGTTTGAGACAACAAGATAAGACCTCAGTAATTTTCTGCAAAATCTTCTTAAAACTATTCTAAAAATAACCATGTGGGGTTTTCTTTTGCACTTTTTAAAAATATATATTTAAACCCCTATTTTTATTGAATACTTGTTATTCTTAAATCCTTCAGTATACATGTCAAACCTAAGCAGATTTTGTGTACTTTAAGTTTATTTTAACATACTTAGATGTGGAGTAGACAGCTTAATTAACGAAAAAGTGTCAGGATGTACGATAATTATTGCTGGACTCACACACTTCAGTTTATTGTTATCTCCTCTTTGCCTTCAGATTATAAAAAAAGGACTTGTATATAAGTTTTAAAGGAAAATTTCTTCCCTTTTCATCATTCCTGCTCCAACATGTCTCGGATTTATACTCTCTGATGGCCTCATCCTTCTCTGAAGATAAAATCTTGGTTAACTTACTTTATGGTTCATTCCAAAAAGGTCCAACACTGACTTGCTTATCGCTACATCGGTCCAAATGAATCCAACAAACTTKGTTTTTTTTCAGCCACACATCTGGGCGATCCGATACGGTTTGAGTTCATTAAGTTTAACGTCAGCGAGGAAAAAGGCCCGGAGGAGGACGTGATATAACGTTATTCGTCTGCAGCAGCAGTGTTTCACTTAAGTAAGGGAAAATGCACAATGCAGTGTTCATTATGAGGATTCAGTGGTCACATCTGTGGACAGAACAGCTGGTTTTACGAGAGGCCTGAGAGTGAAAAGGGATGGGCTCGATAATTTAGCAATTCATCTTGAGGGAACAGCTTCCTCTGGTTTTATTGTAGCCTCGTGCTCACTTCATGGCCATTTTTGCTGTTCGTTATGAAATCTCAGCATGCAAAGTGCTGCCACAGGCCGATCTCAGAACATGCATGARGTGTACTTTAAGGGCAATATGACCGAAGATGAACAGAGTCCTGACTCTGCACGAGAGAGTTTTATTCTCAGCAATCTATACATCTGGTAGCATGGGAACATATGATGTCTAATGTGAAACGCTCAACATCGTCGCTTGAAAGTCTGCGTTTTAACTGACAAGATGTAAAAACACCTCCTCTGTCCCTTTGCCTCCTCACTGCAGAGAGACAGGATGAGAGYGGGAGCTGCACTGCAGCAACGGGGCGTTGGCTCGGCGCACGCAGGGAGGTGGGAAGGAAAACAGGAGAGATGAGAGGTGCAGAGGAAACATGCATCAAACATCTCAGCAAGTGACTCAAAATTCTGATTATTATCATTATTCAGACACTGTTTGCTGGCAGGAGTCATGTTTATGTTACTTTGCTCACCTCCTGAAGTTCCTGATTACTTGAAAAAGTCAACTCAGATCAAAAAGTAAGAAAAGATTAGCTAAAAGCTTGTAAAAGCAATTAGGGTTTTGTTAATTTACTCTAAAGTTTTTTTACATTTTCAAGGATTTTCACTGTGTTCAGCAAAACAAACAAAAAAAAAATCTAACTTTGTTTTTAAATTTGTTGTTGTTTTTAAGTTATACCACATTTCCTGTCATACCGAGCTCCATTAAAAGAGCTGCGGTCCAGAAAGCTGACTTTAAGTGCTGCTTTTAATCTGTCTATTCTATCATAGTTGTGGGTTTTTTCTACTTTACCTTCGTCGTTTCTCATTTCCAGAAGTTTCTGGGTTTTTATTTGTTTTGTTTGGTTTTCCACAGTGATCCCTGGTTTCAGCTCATTCCTCACCTGTCTCTCAGAGGCAGATAAGCCCAGCTGCAGTCACTCAGTAATCACCACTCCCAGCATATGAAGCTCTCATTCATCCAGTTATCTGATCTCATTATTGAGTCCAGTTTTCACATTTTAGTTTTCTGCCCCTGTAATTTTGTGTGGTTTTAACCAATGACTTCTCCTTTTATCTGCACACAGAACACAACACTTTATAATTACAACCTCTATACTAAAGTTCAAAATAATGCATCTTAAGTTTTTTTTATTTCAAAATAGAAGTAACAGCAATACATAWTCCATTTTACCCAGCTCTAGTAAAAATATTTACACAAAACAAACCAACCAATTCTGTCAAAGTCACAAGCTAATAAAATAGCAGTGTAACTTTACAGGAGTACTGTTTGTACAGTGGTACAAGCTAGATTCAGGAGATCCTAGGCCAGTCCTAGCCAAATTGGGGTCAAAGTCAGGATTTCAGATGACCCCTATTTTTAAATATCACTGCCAATTTACATAAATACTAAAATAAATACAGCGGGTAAAATAAGTATTGAACACGTCACCATTTTTCTCAGTAAATACATTACTAGAGGTGCTAATGAC